AGTCGGACAGTAAATCGGCAGTTTTGACACGCATTTTTACAGATGAATATACTGATCTAACCATAGTTACAAACTTTGAGCTAACACCACTCCGTAATAGTTTATAAATGAGAATCCTCTTGCTAATTTTGTCGAACGCTTTACGAAAGTCCACATACGAACAGTAAAGTTTTTGTTTATTTTGAAGTGTATGCAAAATTATTCCAAGTAAAATAAAAATAGCGTCAACAGTTGACTTCCCAGGTCTTAATCCAAATTGATTATCGATCAATTTGTCTTCTTCTTCGGACCAACTGAGCAAATGATTTGTCAAAATTGTAGTATAAAGCTTCGATAAAACACTAATCAATACAATCGGACGATAGTTATTAGGATCGGAAAGATCACCACTCTTTGGGACAGCAACCACTAGACATTCTGACCATGAATCTGGGTATATTCCCGAACTATAAATGTAATTGAATAGAGTTTTTAATATTGGCGCAAATACGTCAGGACAGGCAGAAAACATTTCACGTATTTGCGCCATCGTTACCTGAACTTTTACCGGACTTCATTTTTTTATTGATGCTACTACTTCGTCTTCAGTTATTTCAGAGTCTAATTGTGTAACATTTATATCGTCAAATACCGTATTGTCTATGAGATTACGAACTTCGTCACATAGATCCTGCGAGCAATCTCCTAGTATCGACTCAAAATGTTTCATCAACGACCAGAACTTTCTCGGTTCGGTACTAGCTAAATCGCAGAGTTCGATACCTTTCCGACGTTTGTATTTAAATTGTGCTTTTCGTTTCATTTTATTATAGTTGATTCGTGAAATAACGTATGCCTTTCGGTTGACGTCTGACGGGTGATGTAGGAAAATATTTCTAGCCACATGAAAATCTTTACGTGCAATCGCGCAATTGTTATCAGACCACTCGTTGTTCGGCCTAACTTTAATTTCATCTTGACGCATAAACAAAGATCTACCAAAAACTTTATGTGATAAAATTTTTGTAAATTATTTAACAGCATGATTTAAGTCATTTGTATCAGTAATGTTATCACTATAGACAATAAATTATTTTGGTCTTGTTGTATAATATCTATATATTCATTAGATCTTTTTATATCCCACTTTATGTAATTGCGAATCTTTGGAAACGATAACTCAGGTCTAAAATTTCGGAATTCAAGTTCAAATAATAATGGTGCGTGATCAGAAAATTCGTGAAAATTCAGCACATCAAAATTCTTAATAAGTTTATAATCGCTAGGTGAAACAAGTAGGTAGTCATTGACATTAGCAATAGTTAGTTCATGTTATAACATAACTGTAAAAGTTTTCGACCAAATGCGTTAACGGTTTTGTCTACGGAGTGCCTTTTCGGAACAATCGGGGTTTCCACGTGGTCTACACTATCTACATACAGATTTAAGTCATCATTTGATAAAACATCATCAATTTCACCAATACGACTATTTAAGTCGCCACACACTAAAAATAAACCCTTTTCTTTATACTCTAAACAAACACTTTCTATAATATCATAAAAATCAACATCACATTTGTTATAAAAGTTTGATTTTTCATGTGGAATATAAGAACAACATATGTAGATATCATTTGCAGTATTAAAAAAATCACATGTTTTAGTTTAATTATAACAATACCACAGTCTAACTCTCTATCTATAGAAATACCATCTGTTAACTTTGTTTTACAAAAAATAGCTAATCCACCGTCACTTCGAGTATCTATTTTAACATTTCTATTCAAACATATAAGTTTCACAAAACCTTCTATTTCTATTATATTATTTTCTTGTAACCAAGTTTCACATAAAAACAAAATTTCGTATGTATTTACAAAATTCAAAAAAACACTGTCTTCATAACAAGAATTTAAACCATGTACATTCCAACTTAAACATTTTAAATTGCTCAATTGTTCCCTGTGCTGTCCCTATGGGACATACTCTTTACCACCCACAAAAATTTTGTCCTTCACAAAATATGCCTTGATATCCCTGCAGCGCAGTTCTTTCGGTAATGATAATTTTTCTTTTCTACGATTTTGTATTTCTAACGGTAACTGTTCAGATATTCCAAAAGGTGAATATTTCAAATTCCTTGAACTTTTCTTTACAAGATCCCAGGATTGGTCTATTTTTTTCAGTTTTCTTTCCCAACCTGAACGAATCGCGTATTGTAATTTTATCTGCAGGGTTTTCAATTTTTAAGTTTTTACCACAGAATTCCAAAACCACATCCGAACACAGATCTGTTTCATTTTCCGGAATGTTGTGAAATATAAGATTATTTCTCATAGAGCTCATATGGACATCAGTTAACTCATTTTGTAACCTGTCATTTTCCTTTTTTACTTGGTCTATTGTTTTGCTCAACTTTTCATCATTCACATGGTTGTTTTTCAACTGCTTTGCTAATTTGTCAACTTCAGTTTTAATATTTGATAGAGAGTTTTTTTGCGCTTCAAATTCGTTACTGATATACTGCGTACTTGACTCTATCTGACCAAAACGGTCGTCTAATGCCTTTGTTGTGTTTTCTAATTTTACCACTTTTGAATTCAAACTGGTTACTAACGTGTATATTTGGTCTAATTTATTTAACTTATTTTCAAATCGGTCTGTTCTACTAAATAGTTCGTCTACCCACTGTGGTCTTTGTTGCACAGTGGAATGAATTTGGGGCGAGACGTGCTGCATAGGCAGGGGAATCATTTCAGTGTTTGGCGTTGAACACATCTGTTGACTTTGACTATGACTTGGAAACATATTATTTGGATTAGGGCAGTAAAAGTTAGTGTCTTGTGGCACTAGACTAAATAATTAACGTATTGCCCTTTTGAAATACCTTAGTAATTTAACATATACATAATGAATCACTATCAAACAATTATTGTAGATGTTAAAGTTCTGTAGTCTGTAGAGAGCATGGAGAAGGTCATAGCAGTACCAAAACATCATATTTCAGCAAAAATTGAAGTTCGGAAAATAACGTTATTTTATACCATGGAAACCTTAAAAAAAATGCATATCATGTTTATTGTCATGATCCATTAAAAGAATGCTATTCAACAAAAATATGCAAGAAATAAAAAAATAATGTTACATAGTTACCATGCAAACTTATCACAGAGGTAAGTCCATATGAAGTGGTCATGAAAGACATAACCAGACAAGAAAAGAAGATATCAGAAAAATTTCAAAAATAGTTGTCTCAGTTGCAATCATACCACATCTCCTTATTTGTATACAGATATATTATATTAAACACGGAATACAGAAATTATTTTATTAACAAGTTCTTAAACAATAAATCTAAATAAACTTGGCAAATTGTATCAAAGTCTAAAAGAGTACCTAACTTTCAACAGAACTATATTATATGTATTAAGATTTTAACGTAAACCACAATCTCCATTTTTGTATCCAGTTTGACATGAACTCCAGATATATATTGTGATTGTGCTGCTGGCTTGCTGTCTCATTAAAGTTTATCCAACATCTCCAATTGTTCATATGTAAAATACATCAAAAAAAAAATGTGTTTATTTCAATTGTTAGTATGTGTTCATTCATATGTTGCCATTTATTCTTCTGTCATTGTTTCTTCTACATCTACTTCTATTTCTGAAATAAAAATAATGTATGCTATGTTAAGGTGTATATTTACATATAGCTTATTCGTAGTTTGAAATCTATGCAACAAAAGTCAAATTGATTAAAAGAAAATTTGTTATAAATACTCAGTCAGCTGTTTTCATTTTTTTTTCTCAATTGTATTTGTAACTGTAACTTTTTCTTTAATTGCTATCTGGTTATTTGTTTGTCAAATGTCAAATATTACATGTGCTGGTCTGTTGAAACTTGACTTCTAATTTGTAGAAGCCTGCAAAATTTTTTTTTACAAAAAGGAGTATTCTTACTAACAAGAATTTTTGTATGAAGAGCTGAATATGGTATCTTTGACGAGTTTTTTTTCATGCAATTAAACTTGTTGTAATATTGCACTTGTAAAACTAGATCAGCATAACTCAATAAGATTAATAAATAAATCTACTGAGTAAATGTTCAGGCCAATTTGAAGTAATTTATTTCCTATTTTGATTAGACTGTGTCGTTTGTTTGCTGTCTCACCAAAATATACCAAAATTCAATGTGTTGTTAATAACATATTTGTTTTATGAGTTGTAACGACTTACCTGATACATGTTCCAATCTTATTAAGATCTCCAAGTTCGACATCAGCATATCTATAGTAACTAGTTTGCCTTCAAGTCAGCTTATTTGGAAAGTTTTTTTGTCAGCTGATTGTTCTAGGACTAACTGTCTGGATTTTATTTGATTAGTCAACATCTTTCTTTTCAGTTTTTTTTACTTCTGCTGTAGTTTCATTTCCATTTCTTGCCTTGACTTCCAAAGCCATTGTACAAAGATGGCATCCAGTAATGCTCTTTTCTCTTCCAGTTGTTTGCCTTTTTTTTTGTCTTGCTTTTTTATTCCTTTGCTTTGCTTAAATCCTCCATTTGCTTTTTTATTTCTTTGATTCTCTCTTTCTCCTGAAACTTGATTCTGAGTAACATTCTTTTTGACCATTGAACTAGCTTTTCAATCTCTAGTTCAGTTTTTTTGTGGAGCCACTCTTATGTTTTGTTTAATTTGTATACGATGTGTGCTTCGTTGGCTAGTCTTGTTGAATTTGGTCTGTGTTTAAGGAGCCAATCAAGGTATCCAAATACCCACTCAGGTAATTTGTTGTGTGGAATGACTGATTTCATTTGTATTTGTACATCTGCTGTAACATTTTCATATTTCCCACCGGGTACATGTAAATGATCTTTTACTTTTTCTTTAAATGATTTGCATGTTGCGGCAGCCATCTGCATTAACAGACTCACAGTTTCGGCATCATTGGTCTGTTGTTTAACAAAAACATCCCAGACTTCATCTTTTGTTATCTTTATATTGGGGAATGGTCGCTTTTCACCAGTTAAGAGTTCGTTTGCTGATTCTATATTTGTAGCAACATCTTCTAAAAATTTGGATGAGATTTTGATAGTGCGCATTCATGTCTAGAATATGTGTATTGTCAGCTTCAATAATTTTCCAAAGTGGTGATGTTATAAATTTATTGTAAACTCCTAATGCCCTTAAGCCTACAATATTTTGACTGCATTTCAAATTTCTCAATACGTCTTTCATCAGCCCATTCAAGGTGTTGGTATTGCCTTCTGATTTTATATTTTCAAGGAAGTAAATGAAATGTTCATGAAGGTAATATATTACTCCTCCATTATGGAAGACAATGTTGAATCAGTTACCCTGGAATGGCTTCAATTGAAATTTAACGTTGATTCTTGACAGGTATGTTTTTAGCTCTAGTGATGCTCCATTTTTATTGTCCACGACAGGAACAAATGCCTTGCATACTTCTCTTACTGTTTTTATAATTGCTGACTCCCCAACTACTTCTTTATTCATCACAGTTTGCTCCCATTCTTTGAAGATACTGCACATCAAATCTGCAATATTGACTAAAAGATGAAGACCACAAAAGAAATTATTCATTTTAGTAATCAGTAATTGGTCTGGTTCTGATAGTTCATTAAAGTTGTCCATGTTTTCTTTCAGAAGAGTTGTTCTGTAATCTTGCAGAAGTTGCTGGAATGATTTTTCTGTCGCAGCTCTATCAGACATTGTATTTGAAATATTTTTTAAAATGTTATAAGCCAAACTTGGAGGATTTTCATTTTGCAAATATTGAGTACGAAATGCGCATGTGTGAAAAAAGAAATGTCGACTTTTTTTTCGCTCTTGAAAATTTATGTTAAAAAATGGAATAATATGGACTAAAACGGAAGACAAATTGAACAATTTAAGTGATTTATGTGAAAGGAACTGTGAAATTTCTATATGAGTCCAAAAAAGAAAGCCAAAAATTCAAAGAAAAGGAATAACACGAGTGTTCAAAATGTAAGTGGTGAGAAACCAAATAAAAAGACACTGAAATCTACTCACACGCCTATATCGAATGTAAACAAAAACAATGCAAGTCAAAATAAAACCGCTAGTAATGTAATTAAAACTGTGAATATGGATACGTTTAACGTTCCAGTTTATGATTCCCCCATGATCCAACAAAACAGATCACAGTTTCAACAGTATGCTCCATCGCAGCAGCCGATTCCAAATCCAAATTTCACTCAACTTTCGCCAACACTACCAGCTGCTGGGTTTTACACAAGTACCCCACACAATTTACAACCAATGATGAATCCTGCTATAGATGCAAACAATAAACTTGATATACTTACCCAGAAAGTTATCGAAATTTGCGACAAAATGTCGGTTATAGATGAACTGTCTAAAAAATTAAATTCGTTTGATAAAACTGTCCAAACCTTAGTGAAAACAGTCGAAAATGTATCCAAAAGAGTCGATGAGGTCGAAAAGAGCATGAACTTTGTGAACGAACAATTTGAACATAATAAAAATGATGTTAAGGAGGTTAGAAGTGCTTTTAATGAAATTCGATCCGAAAAAGATTCCACTAATAACACAATCTTCCGACTACAACAAGATCTAGATGACTTATATGATCGGCACATAGATCTCCAAACAAGATCAATGCGGGAGAATCTGATTTTCACTGGAATACCGCTTCATGATAAAGACGAACAAACGGAACAAACGGAAAAAATCATTGAAAACTTTATGGTCGATCAACTCAAACTTAACAGACTCGCGGAATACGAACGTGCTCACCGTTTTGGGAAGGAATATATTGAGAGAAACAAAGATGGCTCAGTTAAATTTGCAACAAAGCCAATTGTCTGTAGATTCAGAAACTTTAAAGAACGCGAGTTTGTTCGAAAAGCCGCAAGAGAATTGAGAGGTACTGGTTTCGGCATTAGTGAGCAGTTTCCTAAAGAAATTAATGACAGACGAAAATCGTTATGGCCATTCTTCCAAGAAGCACGAAGACAGAGTAAAAAGGCATTCTTTAGGAGGGATCGCCTCTTCATAGATGGAGTTGAATTTTTTCCACCAGAGAAAACCGATCAGCAAAACTCTGGAGTGTCAAGACAACAACCGAGACGAAACTACGATGATGAAGGCGCTCGCCCAAAATCAACTCAAAGAAAAAACAACGGGAGACGTTTCCAAAAACAATATTAGGACAACCCTGGAGGCAAAGATACAGAACGAAGTGACCAGTCAACCGATACCTGTGACTTTCACCTTTGTGATTCGAATTTAACTGTAAATAAAACTGACAATATTATTAACCTGTTATGTTTAAACGTATGTGGTATTAAAAATAGATTACTTTACCCTGAATTTAAATCCCTATTGTGTAATCATGATATTATCTGTCTTACAGAAACTAAACTAGATGATTGCGACTTAATTAATTGTGATGAATTTATTTTTAGTTTTAAAAATAGACACAAACTTTCTAACCATAGATCTGGTGGTATTGCATTGGGTTACCGGAAGTATTTAGAAAAATATATTAAACCTATTGAAACTGAATGCAAATTTGTTTATTGGTTTACTATTGATAAGAAAGTTTTAAATTTACCTGAAAACGTTTTTATTGGTATAGTTTACATACCACCAGTAAATACAAATTATACATCTGAAGAAGCTTTTAATGAGATAGAACTTGAACTTCAGAGATTTTCTGAAAAATCTGATTATATTATTTTGGTTGGAGACTTTAACAGTCGAACAGCAAATTTGTCCGATTTTTATGATGAAGATGATATAGATGATTTTGTTATTGACAACCTTACTGATCAATCTGATTATACTGATGTATATATGTTAGACGATTTAAATATATCAAGAACAAGAAATAATCCAGACAAAGTTGTAAATTGTTATGGGAGAAAGTTTCTTGAATTTTGTAAAAATAACAAAGTATTTATTTTAAACGGTAGAGTTGGTCGAGATGTTATTGATCGACCTACCAGTAGAAATAATAGTGTTATAGATTATATTGTTTGTACTTCACACTTTTTAAGATGCGTATCGAATTTTGAAGTTCTCGAATTTTCTAAACTTTTTTCTGATGTTCACTCACCTATGAAACTATCTATTAATATGGTGAACCCTTCATTTGAACTACACACTACAGAGTTATCCTACCAAGAAGAAAATAAAATTGGAAAATGGAAATTTGAGCAAGTGAATGATTTCAAGAATAACATAGATGGTGACAAAATAAGAAATGTTATTGATGAATTATCTGTTTATAGTAATCAAGAAAATGTAACAAAATATGAAATAAATACTGTAGTTACAAATATTACTGATATTTTAATTGATTCTGCAAAAGCAACATTTGGTACACATAATTTTAATAGAAATATGCTGAATTGTAATAGAAAGCATAATAAACAATGGTATAATTTTGATTGTAAAAAGGCAAAGAAAGAACTGAGAAAGGCACAAAGAATGTATAAACATTATGGGTCAAATTTATTTAAAGAACGATTACGACACTGTGAATATTACTATAAAAGTGTAATGGATGAAAACATTAAGAAGTATAATAAAGAAATAACTGATAATATGAAAAAATTAAAATCCAAAAATCCAAAAGAATTTTGGAAACTTTTTAACAGAGGTAGACAACGAGAAAAAAGCAATATATCTATTGAAACTTTATTTGATTTTTTTAAAGAATTGAATGAAAACAAGTTTGAAGACGAGTTTGTCATCGATAATGATTTGAACTCTGATCATGTAAATGAGACACTGAATGGTGTAATTACACATGACGAAATTATTAAAGCTATTAAAAAGGCGAAAAACAACAAATCGCCAGGTGAAGATAAAATAATCAATGAATATGTTGCAAATTCTCTTGACAGTATGATTGATGTATATTCTAAATTGTTTAATCTTATTTTTGATACGGGTATTCTGCCGGAGGCCTGGCTTATTGGAAACATAATACCAGTGTTCAAGAACAAAGGATGTCAATTAGAAGCAAAAAATTATAGGCCTATTACTTTATTGTCATGCCTCGGTAAGATTTTTACATCTATTCTTAATGATAGATTGGGGGAATTTGTTGATGAACTAAATATCTTGAACGAAAACCAAGCAGGCTTCCGACAGGGCTACTCTACCAACGATCATATTTTTTCATTATATGCACTCTTCGAGTTGCTATGTGTCAAACGAAAAAAATTACATTGTGTATTCGTTGACTTTGAAAAAGCCTTCGACTTTGTTCAAAGAAACTCACTTCTGTATAAGCTTGTTTTAAATAAGATAACTGGTAAATTTCTTAGAATTGTAGAAAATTTGTATAAAGATGTTAAATCAAGAGTTGTACATAATAATGAAGCATCTGACATGTTTGTAAGTGATATTGGAGTCCGCCAAGGAGAAAATCTTTCTCCTTTATTATTTTCTTTATATTTAAATGATCTTCATGGATTTTTAGAAAATAGCGATTTGAAAGGTATACATTCAATTACTTCTGATATAGAAGATGAACTGGATATTTATTTTAAGATATTTGTCTTATTGTATGCCGACGATTCGATTTTACTCGCTGAGACAAGCACAGATCTGCAATTACTTTTAAATAGTTTTTCTCAATATTGTGAAAAGTGGAAACTTAAAATTAATGTTAACAAGACAAAGGTAATGATATTTTCAAAAGGTAGACCACAGAATAATTTGAAGTTTTATATTAATAACGAAGAGATAGAAATTGTTAAGAAGTATAAATACCTTGGTGTTATATTCTCTAGAAATGCTTCTTTTTTTGCAACTAGAAAATATCTTAAAGATCAAGCTACTAGAGCTATGTATTGTGTTATTAAGAAGTGTAGATCTAACCATCTATCTATAGAATACCAGCTCGATACGTTTGATAAAGCTGTTTTACCTATACTTTTATATGGGGCCGAAATCTGGGGATACGAAAATCTTGACATTTTGGAAAGGGTACATTTGAGTTTTTGTAAACATGTTTTACGGTTAAAAAGATCGACTCCAAATTTTATGGTTTACGGGGAATTGGGAAGATATCCTATTTCTTTATACGTTAAATTACGGATGATAAAATTTTGGTGTAACCTTCTTGATAACACACTTGATAACAAGATTTCGTCAATGTTATATAAGTTGATATATATTAATTTTAATAAGTATGGAATTGAAAACAAATGGTTGTTATGTATCAAAAGTATTTTTGATAATTGTGGAATGTCAAACATATGGCAAAATCAAGATTGTATCTCAAAAAAATGGATTGTATTAAGCGTTGAACAAAAGTTAAAAGATCAGTTTAGACAAGAATGGCTAGCAAATGTAAATCAATCATCAAAAGGTCTATGTTATAAATTATTCAAAACAGAACTTAAATTTGAAAATTATATTTCAATTTTATCGTTAAATAATGCACTGAAACTATGTAAATTTAGATGTGGCAATCACCGTTTGCCAGTGGAGACAGGGAGGAGGCAAAATGTTCAAAGACCCGAGAGACTATGCCACCTTTGTGAATCTACTGACATCGGCGATGAATTCCATTATGTAATGTCTTGTCCTTTTTTCAAAAAAGAACGATATAAATATTTACCACGCTATTGTTGTACAAATGTTAATATTCTTAAATTTAAAAATGTATTCACTACAGTCAATATTGTCTTACTAGAAAAATTGTGTAGATTTATAAACTATATATCAGTGAAAGTCTGTCCTCCTGGTTAAATTACATTTATTTATG